CAGGATACTTTGGCTCTACTTAGATAAAGCCCACACTTTACAATAGTGACTCTGCCTTCGCGCTATGTGCATCGAACAATGGCTTGACAACACCAAGAATCAAACCCGTGTCCGCCTTAGCTCCAGTGAGGCAACTTGACAAAGTCCATCTTCTTCAGCCCAGTAGCAAATCCAACAACGCCTGAGGTGTTCACCAGAGGATGTGGAGGACCCTGTGCCGAAACCTTGACGTTTGCAAGCTTCAGACTGCAGGACTATGTGCTCTTGGTCTCCATTGATGCATGATCCAAAGCTGCCTGAACAAAAGCTGAATCAGGAGCGATCGAAGGTCCCAGGTCTTAGATCTTATTTCATTTGTGAAGGGCATCCCCTCCGCAACCTTGTCATGTGGAGCAAGCTCAAAACTGTACAGTGCACAGACCTCATGCAATGCATCAAGATCAAAGGCTTCTGCTCTCGACCATCGCCCTTCTCGGCCCTAGAACCGTGGCAAGCGTCTGCTTCCTTCAATGCGGTTTCTGGAGGACGCAGCGACACAGAAATGTGACCTCAGACTTCAATGGAGCAGGCAAGCAGCAAGTCGCCTAAACCTGATTGCAATTCTGACTGGAAGAAGCACTTGCTGCTCCCGCTGCTTTGCTCAGCTTGTTGCCCTATGCAACTTGCCTGCACAGCGTGCGCATTTCTCACGACAGTGTCTCGGATTTCTAGGAAGCTCAAGTAATGGCTTGTCTGTGGCCTTCAGGCCTCAAGTCTTCACAACAACTACTGTAAGGCAGAATGAGGAAATCCCACGTTCTGGGTGCCCTTATGCTCCACATCGTCCCGCTGTGCCGAACGTGCAGTACAGGACATACACCATCAGTTGCATCGAGCCCAAAAACAGAATTACCACAATGCTTCCTTTGAGTGTCCGTGACTCCATGGCCATGCAATGTGCAAGCTTAGGTTCATGTTGCCCAACATTGACCAGAAAGCTCTACGCTTGCATGCATGCGCTGCACCAAGCTCTCCCCAGCGCCTGAAGCTATCCCTTCTTTTAATTTCAGAACATCCCGGCCTCTATGACACCACAACACGAGAATAATACATGAATGGGGGGAAATGTGTTCCGGTGAAAGAGCACCCCACAGCTACGAACCAAGACTGCCGCCAGCATCGCATGCAGGCCAGAAAGTCTCAAGCTCCGGTTGGGATGGCATGAACTGAGCCAGAAAAAGAAAACAAAAACTGAGCTGCAGCTGCGGCACGCTTTAGAGGTGCCTTTGGCGACTTTGCGGCCGTGGCATTTCTCTCATCCTGCAGGGTCACAATAAGTCATGCTCAAGAGGCAATATCGACTTGAACTACATGACATGCAACATTGCCATATGATGAAGGGGTACTGACTAGCTGTTCCATAAGGCCTTGGCTGTTTGCGTAGATGTACCACGGCCATCTTAACGCAGCTCTTGTCTACAAATGACAAATTTACATAGCAGTCACATGGATTTTCGAATCCCAAAAAGCCTTTCTTTCAATGATCTTCAAGTCTTCCCACTGCCACTCCAACATTCACTCCTACCCCAAGGTGCAACCTCCTTCAAGCGCCGAGCCGAACAGCCCATGGTAAACTGCCGCAGCTCCTGTTACACGTGGGGTCACTTTCGGGGCAGCACGCTGCATGAAAACTTCAAATATGTAAGCCGGCGTTGTGCAGCAGACCTGGCGCACACACGGAAGTCAGTAGTCCTGATGGGCTGACTGTCACGACAGCACCCTAGGAAGATCAGGTGGCTTCTGCTGTCTAGTAACTTTGGTCGAGCATCTGGACGTGAGCTTCCGCCACGATAGATAGGGATAGCAAATCAAAAAATTAATCAGACAAGGTCTTTGGACGGCAAGTGACCTTCAACAACAGGAGTTCCTACATCTGCCTCAACTTGCGTCAGCCCATGCCCAAGATTCAGGAGGCAAAGTTTACGGCAGCAAACCGTCAAGCAGCAGGAAGTGCTGTCCATTGCTGATTCGTGATCTACAGCACCCACTCATTGTCCTACCTTCTCAGAGTTGTGAGCTCTCATGTGCGTTCACCACAGCCCCACCCTCCTGCACCATGCTCATCAAGGCATCGCCTTGGGCAACTTAAAATTAACTATGTGAAGCAGCGTCTGTGAGGCCACAATACCATGATAATTCCATGATACCAACAGTAGTGATAACAAATTCTGTTACAGGGTCAGTCCGCTCGCACAACGGAACAGCTTTTGAGCCATGCTACTCTCAGCATCCTGGATCCTCTTGTTGTACACGTTGTAGTGATCCTTACGTGGCATGTAGAATTTGTCTTCTCCATCTGTGCACAGAAATGAAATCACTTCCATACAGCTGCTGACGGCTTTCAGGGACAACATAAACCGCCAGTGCATGAAGCTCCATGGAAGCTTTCCCAAACAACTAGACCAGGTCTCCAGGAAGGCTTTGTCCTCAAGGACACCTGCGCTACGAGGGCATCATTGCATGTCCTTGCTTTGCTGTCTCTAGCTAGCGTCAGCCTTCTAAACTGCTGGCTCGTGCAATTACCCGGCCTTCATCTCGCCGACATCGAATCCTGTTTACCTCAGACAAAGGATTGCACTTTGCTTCATTGGCTACTACTATGTACTAAAACCGACCAAAGACTACGTGCTCCCTCAGGAGCTAATAGAAGCCAAGTGATGGGCCCCATTACACTGACACTACACAATGAGCAACCCATGCTGTGCGCATCCAACGTTCTCCTCTGCGTTCTTCTGCACTAATATCCTGAGAAACTGAACCTGAAAAAGCCACCACCTATTCCTTCAAGATGCAGGCAGTGGAATAGTCTCATCGTCAGCGCACCAATGGTAAATGTTCAGCGGATCTAGCTGCGCCTGCCATGATATGAGACTAGTGACTAGAACAAACCGATGCAGCAAAACTGGTGGATGGGCATTTGCAACCACGAAGGTGTCTAAGTACTCGATGAGCTCAGGAATCTGCCGAATGCCAAACACCTTAGATTTCAGTGGGGTGTGGAAACACGAAGACTACATCCAGCAGCTCTCAATTGCGCAAAGGTTGCTGGAACGATGGGTTCCTGTGCTTGAATGCGTCTGGCCCAGGGGCGTCTCCCAAGTGGAAGTGGTCATTCAGCCGCAGGTGTATTCCAGAGAAATTCGTTGGATCGTACTCCACCCTAAAGCAGAAGCAATTGCAAATTCATTCTGCCGTGTGTGTGTGTGTGTGTGTGTCTAGTCACTTGGACTTGGGACTCATCATCGCCGCATAAAACGGCGCATGAAATTTGTTGCCACGCATGAGCTCACTTTCGCCAAGATGCTGTTGGATTGCAATAAACAGGCAAAAGCATACCTTACCGTGGCATGGATGAACGCTTGAGCTACCCGCTTTCAGCAATTCACTCAATCATGGAGGCGCCAGCTAGCATGCAAGTCTGCTTTAGATTGGAGCACAGGAGTCTTGGGACTCCCAGGGCGGCAATGCGTGAAGTGCGGCGATTGCTCTGTTGGCTACCCAGGTGCAGCGAAGAAAAAGAACCGGGGCAGCATGTTCAACATCTTGTGCTCCAACCTGGAAGCATACAACAAGTGAGAGAAATCACAAGCTTTAGGCGTCAAATTGCCTGGCATTGGACATCCTGAGTGGCGGACCCGATGCGTTTTCGCAGAATCTCCCTGCAAACCGGGATGCAATTGAAAAAAAGCGCAGCACGCCCACGGCAATCATGCACGCAGTTGTGTGGAGTCATGATATACGCCATCTTCAAGAATGAGCATAGAAATCAAGATGGCAAGCATGCCACTAAAGTTTGCTGCAGACAGCTTTCCCATTTCAGCCTGTCCAGACCACTCTCTTCAGTATGGAAGTAGTCCGATTCTGATGTGAACACTCTGGCAACACCTCAGAAGCCGAGGAGAGTATCCGAATGCAGCTCGTTGAGCATTTCCAAGCAAAATTGTGGCAATGTTGTCCCAATCTCTTGTTGACTCACAATGATACTTTCTCTGATTGTCGATGCGGGGGTTTGGCTCGATTGGATTGTGAGGTTTGCCTCTTCTGTGCATCCTGTGCCGGATTCATCCCATCTGCATCCTCTGCCATTGCGTCTCAGAACTGCAGAGATTTTGGAAAAGCGTTGACAGGAGCATTACAGCGCGTCGAGTGCCCGACTGCCTGAGGAGACCCCCTTCTGCGAGACTACATTTGTGACCACCTGCGGAGGGCTGGCTTCATTATCTAGGCAGTTTGCCTTGCCTCCACCTGCTTTGCATGATGCGCATGACTACATTTCAGATTTGCAATGCTCCCGAAAGCAATATGTGGCTTGCAACGCCACATCATGCAATAGTTTCCATCGAATGCCTCAGCAAACAAAGATGACCGGCCAGAGGATGCGGTGGTCCTCTGGGCATCAACGGAACTCAAGCTTTGGCAGCTTCTGCATGCCAGTAGCTACTTATCTCGGCTCTGACATGAAGCAGGCATCCAGCCTTGCATGCCTGCTTCCAGCTGATCTGGGGCTATCCATCTGTTTCAAGCAGCTGTCAAATGTCCTGACCAAACACCCCAGCCAGCTGTGACGAAGCAACATGAATTCATTTGGTGCTCCTCAACAAGCTCAAAAAGAGCCCATACATGATGTTGAAAAAGGTATGAAACAGGCCAGTTGCTGGCCACCCGACGGCACGGGACTCTGCATCATGGCAGGATGAATGCTATTCTGTGCTAGGCCGGCAAGGCACCTTAGGACTGGGAGATGTTTGTTGCTGCGGTGCAGCATGAAGCTTGCCGCGCATGAGATCCTGACATGCCTTTAGTTTTGGGATCCACTCAAAGCCAATGCTGAAGGACATCCAGAGAGCCAAGCAAGCAGCAAGATGGCAGCGTCCATGGCATTCGAAGCACCAAAGCAGAACTTAAGTGGGCAGCAAATGCCGCCACAACGCCATGCAACAATTGAATCTGAGCTGAAGCACGTCAGAGCCGTCTTTTGAGCATGGCACTTCTCCAGCAAAGCCTGAACTATCAAGATTTGGGTCAATGTGAGGCCCTACAACACCATCTGCGGGTCTCCGCAAACATCTGCTGTCATGTGCTGACATGTGCAACTCGACAATGCGCCAACTCATTACATTCATCAAAGTTGCATCACACATAAGATTCCAAATCCCCTAGATGTTGGATTATGTTGGGGCGACCTGCCTGCAAACAACTGTATGTTTAATTTGAGAAGCAATGGTATGAGCCTCCGCCAGGTCATCATCAACCAGCAGCCGCAACCTGGAAGGATTGCGCTTCAAACAGATCATAACAACATAGGGAGCTGCCCCTAGAAACCCCTCGAATACGACAAGAATCTGGGAGGTTGCCGTCTTCAAGATCCACGGACGACCCCAAAACCAAAGCTAACGCTTCAAGTGCTTGAACTGCCCGTTCAAACACATCATAGCTAAGCCCTAAGCAGGCCTGCCCTTGGTCCGGGGACTTTACTTGCGCGCTCAGCTCGTAAAAAGCCAATCCGCTCCAAGCAGGACTCATTACTGAGAAGGCTCCCAGGGATATCACAGTCCAGGCGCTGCTTCGGAGTTGCAACGCCCGGCGCCCAACACATCGACCCCTGCAGGTGCACCAAGAGGCCACCACAAACCTAAGTGACACCAAAGACGCTTTTGTCTGTGCTGCTTGTTTGCCTGCAAGACAACCCAAAACAATGCATTTGAAATCATTGGAGAAGAGCCTACTGCATCTCAGAAGTCACTTGGCCCAAAGACATGGTGATGCGTGGTGCTGGGCGCGCCAGCAGCCACAGCACGAGCCAATGGAGTTCCTGTTGCTTTCCAATGCAGTCCATTGTATTTGGCTGTGTCCAGGGCGTCCTTCTGTCAACGTCGACTGTCGATGGTCATTGCCTTAGGAGTCTTTGGAACTACCATGTACTTGGGCTGCCAACTGGCTACAGGTCAGCCTCAGCACATGTGAATAAGCACTGCAAACACCATTCCACCTCGCATGCCATGAGTGACTGGCGTAACACCTGCTCCAGAAGTAGCGGCCTGGCATGGACAACACGATTGTAAGGTGGGCTTTGGCTCCTGTCAATTGGCACTTTCTTCGCTCTAAAAGGCCTCAGATATGGCTAGGGCTCGAAACTGCAATCTGTAGACTGGAAAAACCGAAAATGCAACGATGCGACCTTAATGAAACCTGGCGCAGATGTAGAAGTGGCGCAAGAATTTGCACGGCCTGATGCAAGCTGTCAGCGTGCTGATGTAATTGATATTTTGAACAACTACACTGCCACCACTGCCGCTGCTAGTTGCGAGGCCTCAGAGTGTGGCCTCCACCGACATGGCGCTACACCAGTGAGCAGCCCCTGCAAAACTGCCAATTGAGTTGTTAGATCTCAGTTTGGCTTTGCGTAAATAGATTCAAAAGCCGTCAAGGTTGGCTTCAGGTCAGATCCGTTTGCCCGGCCACTGTTCATAATGAGGAGGCAGAGCCCCTTCACAACTCATATGTGTTGCCATTGTTGAACGATCTTGCTGCCAATCCTGCTTCTCATAGGTCATAGACTCGACATACTGCAATAGGGAGGGAGCTGTGCTTCTGCAGCTGGAAATACTCTTTTGATACACCCATGCAGACTGAATGGAATGTTCAGGCTGCTCCTTGGGAAGCCGCTCGAACAGGAACATCCCCATCCGTGCCCAAGCAACCTGCACAAGGCAAAGGCAGGCCCTGAGCCCAGGAAATGCTATAACACGATGGCTCCCACGCCCCGTCTCGACTCAAGTACAACTACCGGACTTGTTGATTTTTGCGAATGTTCTTGGCAGGACACCAAACCGAGGCACTGATCAAGCCGCTGTTGGGATACTTGCGATGACACTGCCCTATGCTGTACCATGCTTGCAGTGGTTTGGCCATGATACTCATTTACATGATCCAGCTCTGCATGTGCACTTACTTTCCAAATGTGCAAGATTTAAAGATGATGCCAAACTGCCTTCTAAAAAGCACTGTGGAAGCCATTCCAAGTCATTTCACGCCTAGATGCACTACAACTGCAACTTTCCTTCATGAGCCATGGAACCTGACGGCCGTCGCAGGGGAGTGCATCGAAGATGCGGGCGACCGCCTGCATCAAAAATCTGAGGGTTACTCGCCAGTCCTGATCGCAAGCTTCTGCAAAGCAATGGCTGAAACTTGGGAGGTTGCCTGAGCCCCCAACAAGCACAACAGACATCTCTCAACAAGCGAAGGCAAACTGCCAGCAAGCTATTGTCTCACCTGAACATACTTGAAATCAACCTCACCCTGGCCTCAGAAACCTTAGCTGACATGCATCCTCCAAGAATCACAAGCTCCAGGAAAAATCCTGTCAGTTCCACAGCGAATCTTCAGATTCCATTAAAATAAAGGAAAGAAGGTCACGTCCAGTGGACAGCTTGCGCCAAGAATTGAGCATGCTAATTGCACCCAAAAACAATATCCAAACCGCCGGGCAGCCAAGGTTATCCGTTCTGGTTCAGTCTTGCCCTTCGTGGTCTGCCAGAACAGTAGGCCACGTTTCAGCTTGTCCTGCTGAAATGTGATCAAGGCACTTTGGTCTCTACAGGGTTGCCGGTCCTGGCTCCAGTTCGGGTCGATTGCGTAAAAACTTGAAAGCTCTTGCCATGCAGAGTCTGCAAGGGAAACGCGGCGGAACTTGGAACCTGACATTCCAGTGATAAGAAAAAGCTTTCCAACCCCACGCATGCGTTCAGCAGCCAGGTCACTGAGCAGCGGATGCCCCCCACGCCCTTCACAAGAAGACGCTGGTGGAGGACGGGGTCCTGTTTCAAGTCTTCTGCGTGAACTCTGCTAGCACAACTGTTGACAAGCACCTGGTACATGGGGCGACGCGGCCACATCTTTTTTAAACACCGCCACCTTGCGAAACAATTGATTTCTGCATCAACCAGACTGGCACTGCAACACGCAAGCCAGGGCAATAGCAAAGAATGCGCCGGTGTTGGAATGATGAGGATAGAAGCGGGCGCATTTTGACAGCTCCTGAAACAAAAAGCTTGCATCGAAAAGGGCAGTCAAGGCGAGTCAAGGCAAGCAAATGGCGGTGGACAGTCAAACAAGCCAGCAACAGGAGCAGGTGCTCTCACTCTGCTCTTTTGCTCATGGGCCGGGGTCAGTGTCTGTTGCACAGAGTCCAAGGTGGGCTGCAGCCTGTCTATGGCATGCCCCAACGCACAGGAACCTGTCAAGCTGCCTCGGGCTTCTTGAAATAAGCTTGCTCCCAATGTGGCAGGCTGGAGCTCATGTACTCCCACCTCCAAAAGAGCCTGGTAAAAAAAAGGACCTACAGTCGCAAGGATCAAAGCAATGCCCAAGTCTTGAAAGCTTTGAGAAACATCCTCAGAATGTGCGGACTTGTTAGTGAACGGGCTCAAATGAGCACTGGCAAGAAGAGTGCTCACGGTGACCCCAGAAGTCATGCCAAAGCTGATGGCATTGATGATGTTGTTCACAAGGACAAGTGCTGCCATCATCTGCACATGGACATAAGGAGGCTGAACCCGGACAGATGCACGGACGGTCCGAATTCCCGTGTACGCTTTCTCTGCAATGGTAATGATGCGCCCATACGTTGGTGTTGCCATGGGGGGAATCTCACCATCAGAAGCCATGCGGGTGAGGAGGGAAGTGATCCAGACCCACAGAGTCTGCGCAGGATCATCAATGGACTCCAAAACCTTGCGTTCAGACGGCAAAAGCTTTGCAACACTTTGCGTCTGGTCCTTCCACAGCACTTCACTCTCATTCTCATTCTCGCATGTCAGCTTGACCCAGCTTTCTTTCAGGAATGAACGGCGGTCCTCCCGCGACATGGCGGATGCAATCAGGTCATTGTCTAAGCAATGAGCAGAAACGACGCAGTAACGAAGGCACAGGTGCACCCGATCATGTGGAACTCCCACAGCATTTAATTGCATGTGTAAACCACGAATGGCATCAAAGAGCTCCAGAAAACCGTTCGTGCAGTTGTACCACCTCTGAACTGAACTGGATAGGAAAAAGCCAAGAAGCAAGCCCACAACCACCTCCAGAAACGAACTGATCCGGGTGAACTTGCCCACGTTGAGTTTCGCAGGGTCCTTTGTCGATACCACCACTACAACGGAGACAGACATAGAAATCATCAATAAGATGCCCATCATCTTCCACAAAGATGGCTTCGTCCATACAGTCCCGCCGAAGTTTTGGAAGACGGAGAAGGTTACCAGTTGACGCGCGTCATAGCTCATGGAATCGAATGATTGTCCTTGCACCCCAGCCTGCACACAAGGCCCACTGCTACTGCCCCCTCATACCCTTTGCGTTTAGCAATCCCGCTCCCATGGCCTCGGCCTTTGGTAGCAAGGGCGCTTTCTCTGGATCTGCAGCTTCCGAGTCTGCCATGGTCGGAAGTTGCCACTTCGTTTTAAAACGGGTGCTTCTCTTTGGGCTCACATTTGAGCCAATCTCAAGCAACTCGAGATCTTCAAACTGAAGCAGGGACTCGTTGACACAGCTGGGTCGGCTTGTCCTCCGTACTGGGCTCACCAGGCGAAGGGAACATATCTGCTCGAAGCGCCCAACCTAAGCAAGTCTGAAGCCGCATAATTTCTAAGGTTTCGTGAAGGCAGCTGGCGATCCACGTCACGAAGCTCTTGAGGTACCTGCAGGAAACAGCGCGGCAGTCTAATCGCCAAAAAACAAATTACCCTGCCTTCTCCCAAGACTCAAATAATGCGCCACAGCGCTGTGGCTCGGGCACCACCCAACGTCTGAGACCAGGAGACTCGGCGATAGCTTCCAAGAGTGCACAATACAAAGAGCATGAGATGCCACAGACACTATACAAAAAGATCACGAAATACACTGGCAAAGAGACTCCCTCAGGCAGAATCATAAGGGAAGTAAAGGAATCACTGCTGGGGAACCGACCACACCATTCTGCTGTCAAGTTACTTCGCGTCCGCGACTTAGATTCTGCTACTGACCTTGCTAGCTGCCTTATGCAAGTTTTCAGCAGAGGCCTGAAAACACGCGCACCCGCCAGCTTATTCACAGCCCTCTTCATCCTGGCATTTCGGCATAGGCCGACGAGGGTGCTCAAGCATCTTTCTGGCCACGAAGCAGGTTGCAGCCCACATCTCTCCTTGACCATCGCCTTGATCCAATCTGCCGACAGTAAACATGTGACGAGCCAGGGTTTCACGTTTCACTAATGTCTCCTGCCAAGACTTGATCCGTGCTAACGACATACACCTTCCGCAGGCCAGTCAGTCTGAAACATGTGAGTCTTTGATTCCGGGTATGTGAGACATGAAGCTGCCTCTGAAATCCGAGGTATGCAGCCCGACTAATCCTTTCCCCTTATATTAAATGGCTCCCCCCCCTAATGCAAACACTCGGAACCGTATTCAATGTTAGGGAGAGTGTGCTATCGTGCGACCCGAACATTAGGGGGGCCTTACTAAGAACTATTTCAAATTGGGGCCTCATTGAAGACTATTTCAAAGTAGGGCCTTATTGAAGACTATTTCAAAGTAGGGCCTTCCCATGGACTTTTTCAAATTAGGGCCTTATTAAGCAATGTAATTGGGGACTGTTCCAAATTAGACCCTTAAAAGGGACTACTTCAAATTAGGCCTTAATAGGGACTATCACAAATTAGGCCTTACTAGGAACCATTTCAAATGAGAGCCTTACTGGGGACTATTCCAAATTAAGGCCTTATTAGGGACTAGTCCAAGTCAGAGCCTGAATCGGGACCTATTCCAAGTTAGGGCTTTATTGAGGACTGTGACTATTTCAAAAAAAGGGCCTTATTAAGGACTGTTTCAAGTTAGGGCCTTATTAGGCAATGTTATTAGGGACTGTTCCAAATTAACTTAAAAAGGACTAATCCAAATTAGGGCCTTAATGGGGACTATCACAATTTAGGCCTTACTAGGAACCATTTCAAATTAGGGCCTTACTAGGAATTACTTCAAATCAGAGCCTTCATGCAGACTATTCCAAATAGGTTCTTATTAGGGACTAGCCTTATTGACCATTTCAAATAAAAGCCTTATAAGGGACTATTTCAAATTAGGGCCTTTTAAAGGACTGTTTCAAAATGGGGCCTTAAGAGGGACTATTCCGAATTAGAGCCGTGGAATCTGTTGCTGGAATTGTTCTGCATAAAAATTCCTGCTTAAGAGCCACTCAAGAACAATCAAAATCTAAGAAATCAAGGAGATCCCTAATTCTTAAGAGTCGTGCCAAAAAATCCTAATTCACAGGATCCGAGCCGCAACTAATTTTGGTCTTGGCCCTTTTAAAAACAGATGCCAGAATTTGGAATTTTGGCAAAACCCTATTTAATATTAGGGGGCAGAGATTACCAAAGATGCGCAACAGACAGGGCACGATGCTAGACTTCCCTCCGACCTTTCCGAGCACACGACAGCGACGCACCCGCTTAACAGTATGCAAGGATGCCATTCATATTCCTGAACAGGTTTTGGCATGGTGACAGATTTGCTGGGGTCTCGCGTCCCTTGCAGGTCACGAGCATTGAGATTGGGAGCTAAAGGCGCCTTGTAAAGTCCAAGGCTCGTCCCAATGATGTTGACTCCCAGGAACTTGTTTATGCACTCCCAGCACTTTGGATGTTGGTGTTGGCCCTGCGCCCTGATGAGTTTGGTAATTTTCTCTACTTGCTTGTTGTTACTGCATTGGTGACACCCGATCACTGTGAACGAACAGAAGACAACAGAGTCCTGGCTCCATGCCCCAAGGATAGCCAAAGACCAAAGCCAAACATGAGCCCATAGTCCATGGGCCTTGCAGTTTTGTCGTTGATTTTGCGGATGTGGGTCTTGTCGGTGTCTCCGTTTGTTTGGTTTGGTTAGTTTTCCCTGGGCTTAGGGCTGTAGTTGTTGTTGTTTGTGTTTGCTTCCATTTTCTTTGTGCTTTCAACAACGCACCCTGAGTTGCACTTCGTTTGCGGACATGTCGGTACAGTCATGCAGCCGTGCAAATATTGAAGACTTCAGCTCCGTTGTGAGGGGCCTTACTTGAGGGAGTTCCTGCGCTGTGAAGATTCGAGGTGTCGAAAAACGACTGTATATGAGCATAACGGCCCTGCATGTTCTTAAACACGCAGTTTGAGTGCCTCCTGCAGTTGAGCTTTTAGCTAACTGTTAGCCCAAGAATGTTGGCATTCCCCCTGCCAGCACAAGCTGCGTGCTTGCACGCGCCCGAGAACTCACACGTTGCACAAGCTGCTTATCTGTAAGACATTACGCTAGCTGACTTAAACCAGCAATTCCACCAGATGCTTGCCAAGTCACAACAGCATCGAGCAGAGAAACTGGCAGCTTGGAAACGCCTCCTCTGAGCTTCGAAGAATCTTAGACTGAAGGCCAAAGTGTCTTACGCTGCACGAGCGAGGCCTGGAGTGTTCCAGCGGCGAAGGCTGCTCAAAACCACGGCCTCTCCAGTCTGACGCGTTCTATTCTTAAAGGTCTCCACAAAGCCACTTGTCTCATCGAGCTTCTTGAACAAACCTCGTTTTCCAAAGGATTCAGCGAGCATGTAGAGTAGACGAGCATTCCTGACGACAAGAACATGTTAGCTGTGAAGCGCAACTGACTGCTTTTAGAACTGCAGGACAGAAGTGTAAAGAATGACCATCACGTATACATGTGGCCCTGCCCCTCTTCCAGGCTCATGATGCAACACAAGGCAAGCCTCCTGGAGGCAGCAGGTACAAGCCGCGAAGTAGAATCCTCCTCTGCAACGCCGACAACTCAAGCGCTTCCCGACGTGACCACGATCGAAAAACCTGTCTGGAAGTTGCTTTGTTTGCTTCTGTCCATCACCACCGCTGCACAAGACACGTGTTTGGCGGTTACAAAGCCTGCGCGTTTTTGCGTGCCGTACCATCTCCACTGCAAGGCACATCGGCAAGAATCTAAGCTGTGATGCAAAGGACCGACTTGCAAATTGTTAATCCCTTGCGCGTGCAGTTCTTGACTTCAAAACAATGACATACAACAGGAAATGCCAAAGACCCTCTCAAGCTGCACCGAGGATGCGTGATTGAAATCCACTCTACATGGTAGAGCATCAGCCGCGCTGTCACTGGCTCGCTCCTCAACACGGTTGAGAAGGAGCGCTCATCGGCAAACCATGTCAAAGCGTGCGATGCAACCAAGCTTCTACTAACACTGGGAAATGTGCGGCATTTGCGAGTGCTGCGCAGGAAGCAGGCGAAGCGGCTTTGCCCAACACACGATGGAGTGTGAGGCAACAACTCGGCACACGTGTCTGTATGAATGGCGTACCTTGACTATTTACCTGCAATCTGAGCTGAGTCCGCAACCGCTGAGGGTCATTGTCTGCTGACCTTCTAGCATGCTGTGAGCATCCTGTGCTAGAGCGCAACAGGCCCCCTGAGATCACCACAATACAGCTCCTTCCGCATCGTTGGCAGAGGCTAAGCTGTCCAGCAATTGCAATGACTTGTTCCTGGGAAGTCTGGATTTGCAGAAATCACTATCCATGTTGCTGGAAACCAAGCTGCAACACAGTCATGTCTATTGGTAGAGCGGGTGCTGGTCTTTTCTGCACGCAAGGATGTACAATCAAGCAATGCCACCGGATTTCTGGGCACGCCATCCGCCTGGGAACCCTTCGTTTGATGATGTCCAGCTTATGAACAGCAAAGCCAAACAAACTTGAAGTTAGGATCAAGTATCTCAGCCCACACAAAGGCATGCGGAAACAAGACTCAGTCTGATTTGTTAGCTGAAGTTTGCAGAAAATTATGTTTGTGGGAGTTCGTAAAATAGCATGTAACTCCAGGATTCCATGTGTTCACGCAATGCTTATGCAGAGGCAAGGCATCCTTTTCTAAATGTCCTATGGAAGGTTCCAAAAGCGTAGTATCCTTAGCGTTCATGCTGCTCTACCAAGCACGCACAAGACTACAGGAAGAATGGGAAAGAAAGGCTCATTGGAGACTCCAACGAGGCTCACAGGAAGCACCCTAAGGTAAGAAGAGGAAAAAAAGTCAACTTGTCTGCGTTTATTTGTTTCTTTGCACCCCCTGCCCCCCTCTCCTAGGACTCTCCGGAGCCTCTGTGGCTTTGGGGCTCTTCAAGGATGGGGAGGGGGGCCTCGCAGATGTTCCAGAGGCGAGGTGAGGAACCTAGCCCTGAAATCATCCGAGCAGCTCCCCCTGCGTGCTTCTCTGAGACAAGCAAATAGAGTAAAAATCTTGTTCCTGGAACCAATGAATTCTCAGCGTTTTCGTGCTACACTGATTATGAAGTTCGTAACATCAAGTGGCATGCGAAACATCCCAATGCCAATGAAATGCATGCTCACACTTTGCGTGCCTTATGCTATGATGAATTTGATGCCCAGGCTGCTGTGGAAAACACACTGTCGCAATGAGATCGGCAATTGAGTGCAGGGAAGTGACAAGTTTTGTAGTTGTGAAGCCCTTGCTACTTGCATGTGCCATCTGGATGAGTGATATCTTGTGTGCTAATCATATCCATGACGAGCTTTTGCGGATGAATCCGCAGAGGTTCAAGCCAGTTTATGCATACCCGCTGGGTTTTGCTGATAGCCCATTCCAAGTCCAGCGTAGGCCGTGCTCAAGTCGTGATAAGGCGGCAGCAACTCGAATGGATGGAAAAAAAACACCACTGCATGGCTCAGTGACACCTTGAATTGTCCTGTCTTTTGGTGAAACTTTGAGTTGACCTGTACAGTTGACCAAACCTTGCTTGAGGGGCGTGGTCTTGGCACTACACATCATCCCCTGGCTTGTTACGAGAAACCGAACCCAGCGTCACGTGACTGCGCACGCGGGCAAACGTCCCGCCCGGCGCTCATTGCGACGAAGATACAGCAGACCATTGAGGCGCTTCTTGAGGAACGTGGCAATGGCACTTCTTGCTTGGTCATCGCTCATTGTTGCTGCTTGTCACAAGTGTGCCCGAGACCGAGATCTTGCTGCACTGTGCTTGTCGGTGGTGGCCCCGAAACCTGCTGCAGCACTTGTGTCACGTGCAATGTTGCGAATTCATCCAAGCCAAAAATGAGACTGAGTGACAGCCCATGCTTACTTGACAATTTGATGCAGGATGTTGCTTGGACCTTGTTGCCGGAAGACATGTTGATCTCCCGAGCTGATGTTGCACTACAGGCGGGGTGATCTCAGGTTGATGTCTCAATGCAAGCGGCCTCTCGACCAGAGAGCCTCGTGCGCAGTAACATGTTGCAGGAGGCGAGTTTCAGTGAAACTTGCCTTGATATGTGCTTGTTGCGCTGTGCCGCTGTTGCGCTTCATGTTTGCGATGATGCGGTGCTTGCAAAAGTCATGTCGCACCAGCTGAGCATTGTCACTCGTGGCATGGTTGATTGGATGCTCCCACCAAGCGTGAAAACCAAAAATAAGACAAGCTTGGATTTCGACCGGTTGTTGCAAGTGGTCGGTTGTGTCCGCATGTTGTTGCACACACGTTGGCAAGCATTGGGAGGTCGCATGAGGCAAAATGGGCCAGGCATAAGCTGCAATGTTTGCATCCTTGCCTAGCTGTGGCTTTGTTCCAGCCGGGCCCGCTCAGTGTACTTGGTTGTCGTGCTTGTGCCCACTTCCTAGGCATGCAGCTGAGTTGTGCTTGGCTGAACTCGCAGGAGCAATGCTTGATGTATCTCCTAGGCAGTGTTACGTGGAAGGCACCAATTGTGGCCGAGCTGTCCGACGTTGCGGAATGACGGCCGTTATGCTCCGATGCTATGAACACCTTCATGAGATTCGGGGTGTCCAACGCCATGTTGCATATGCCCGGCGCCTGTGTAAAACACGCATATTTAAATCATGTCATTTGGGCGATTTGGCCATGTAGGTTGCTTGTGCGTCAGAGTTGCCACTAGCCGCTAGCCCGTGCTATGGAGCAGCGCTTCTTGCGAGCAGACCACTGGCCCGCGAACAGCTCAGGCACTTGCAGATAGAAGAAGCCTACTCGACACAGTGCTGCCAGCAGGGCTGCGGGTTGGCGACCACCTCCATGCTTTCGCAGACCTGGGGTCGACACATCAACGTTTGTGGGTCATGCTTGTGCTCGCGCAGCTTGTTTAGCCAGAACTTGCCAGAAACACAAGAGTTGCAGACTGACGCCCGTTACTTGCAGCAAGCGTTTGGTCTGCCTTTCGCCGTTCACCGCTTTGCCCGCGATGAGATTTTTTGGCCCGGCCTTGTTTGCACCTTATGTTTGTAGCGAGATGTCTGTTGGAAGTCTATTCGTCACCGTTGGTTCCCATGTGCTGAGCCTGCTGGTTGCGAAGCCATCGTAGCCTTGCTAGTTTTCAGTCGTCAGCGAAGTTGTTATGCTAGAACAGTAGAACATCGTGTCCGGTGGCCTGCGTCCATTCCACGCAGGGTTTTTTTCTCCTGCGAACTTGACGTCCGCAGGTCCTTGTTGCAGTCCTGTTCTCCCTTGCTCGCGACATGGTTGGCCAACTCTTGTGAAGCAGGGGTGCCCCGAGGTTGCACTTACACCAGGTTGTGGAGCCACTTTCGTAGTCGCACAGAGCGGACTGATGCTGCTTGGTTCAACATGCTGCCTGAACAGCTTCAGCTCACGCAAGATGAAGGTGCGAACATGCAGCTGCGTAAGTTGGACTGGAAGACTCCGGTGTGGCAATCGTCGGCCGATGCGTCCGGACAAGCTTTGCTGCAGTTCAAGAAGACAAAGACAAGTCTTCATGCTGGACCATGCCGTTGCGTGTGTACTGCAAGTCGTTCGCCTTGATGGTCAATCAAGACACCTACCACTTGGTGCGCGCCCATGTCTTGCCAGAGGAGGCTGTCGAACGATACAAGCAACAGCACGTGAGCAAACTACCGCCTTACATGGCCCATGTTGGCTCACACAGCCGTGGAAAAACTGGCGCCTCCCATACATGTATGTGAATAGGAAATCCAAATGTTTTGCTAGTGGTGTTGGGCGAGTTGGGACATGCGTGCCTTCGCCGTGTTGTTAGCTGGGCTAAACATCCGTGCCGTTGGTTGTACAAATAGAACACAAGGGCAGGCCAAGGGCCGGAGACTCACGACCTGTCAACTGCCGTGAGTGATTTTCATGCAGCAGTGAACAATCTGAAACATGATCATGATTGCTTATCTACTTGTCACCGCTGTGATAAGTCAAAACCCTTGGTTTGCCTCTGGGTGGGCGAAGCGGCGCAGTTGTTTGAAGAGGTTGCTAGGGACGAAGTCCTCATGCGACTTAAGCATATTCTCCGCGACCTTGAGGCTTCTACTGGAGGGTTAGGTGCCATGACACGAAAAAACCGCCGGTTGCATTACTGGGTTGCTCGCAACAACTGTTGGCCCTCGTTGGGTGCTAAGGTGCATCGTTGGCAAGAAATTGAGGACATTGCGGTGCACTGATTGGAGGGCTCATGTCTAAACAGCTCCCCTCCGTGTTCATGGGTTTTGCAGCGTCACGTTGGGTGCAGGCAGCCTCTTCGGAAACCTGTGCTGAGTGGATCCCTCAAAATATGAGTTTCTCCGAAACAATTGCAGCAAGTCGGTATGTTGATGACTTGGCCCTTGCGTCTTCAACATTGTGCACTGCATGTCCCGGGAGCCTCACGACTCGCATAAACGATACGAGCCACCCATACAAGTTGAAGAGACGAAGCCCATTGAATATGGGTTGCCATGGTTATATCAGAAACCTGATTAGTTGCTAACTCCTAGTCACATTTATTCAGGAATTGTCTAGAGAAATGGGCCCCCACAGCCCTAAGCTGCCATTCGGGCATGACAGTACTCCCAGTCTAGTCCTTTCGGAGAAGGAGAAAACTCATCTGCAATCCACGGCTCCCGGGAGCGGCACAGAGATCAACACAGACCTTATAGTCTTGCGTTTACCAAGTGGTCAAGGTCAAGCAATCGAATCTCAGAAAAAGTCATCCATGGTTTAGTCCAAGCACGCTTCCGGGTTGAGCGTCCAAAAGTATGGCGGGGACAAGCGAGACGAGCTCCTGCCACAATCTAGTTACTTGAACCCCTTGTAGTTGCCTTGGCGCAAGGAAGCCTGAAAGCAAAGGTTGCCCAAGCGGTTCTCTCGCTCAGCCCATGCTTTGGCCCTTCGGCAAGGCTGTGTGAGAATCACTTGGTGGCTGCCACAGTGCATCTCTGACCACGCGCTCCTGCTGTTGTCAGAATACCTTAGCATGGCTATTGGTCACATGCTGATTTGTCCCACGGCACCCCGTACTCAATTGGCCAAGTTTCAGGAAGGAGTCTATCTCCCAAATAGACAGGCCTTGGCTGCAGCGGCGTCATGAATGACAGACCAACTTCGTAATGAATTGGCCTAGCTTCACGGAACTGGAACAATTCACTTGCATGCTACCAACAAGCGGATGCCTACACATCCGTAATGGATAACGACAACAAAAGAAATCATGACTGAATCAGCAACTGCGGACAGCAACAGGTATACTCCCAGTCATCCCATAAGCTGCTTTCACGTTGTCAGTGCATCATGGACTGCCACTGCTACTGCTGCTGCTGCTGCTGCTGCTGCTGCTGCTGCTGTACTACTACTACTACTACTACTACTATTACTACTACTACTGCTACTACTACTCCTTCCTCCTACTACTCCTCCCGCTGCCATTGCTGTTGCTGTTGCTGGCGCTTTTGCACTTTTTATAAAGGGCGATGTTGGCTGATCCTCAAGCGTCTCCATAAGATACAACCACCTGCGACTAGCCACAGCTTTTGTGGTCAAAGCCGTCGAGGTGTAGCAGTCTTGTGCAAAATGGGCTTGGAGTTTCTGTTCGTTGGGGCATGGATGTTTGGGAAATGAACGTTGTTATAGTTTGGGCACGCATGCCCTGATAGATGGTTGACATAAGCGGCCTCGCAAGTGGATGCTGTGCTCAATTTGGTTGATGGATGCTATGAGACATGAGGACGTCATCCTGATGGGGCATTGACGTCGGAGACATGCATGCCGAAATCAAGCCACCGATCTTTATAGTCGAGCAAAATCTTCAGAACGTAAACAGCAAAACTGTTTGAAATGCAAAC